CGTGGCTCCCACATCGACATGTGGTGTCTCCTTCGCCTGTCTCTTCTGGGGAGGAAAAATAAATGGGTTCAATCCCCTCTTCACCCCTCTTTCAACTCCTGTGGGTAACGCAGAGAGGTGTCCCCCCAACCCCAGGCAGCTGGCACCTCTTTGTGTATCGGCCACCAGCTGCTGGGATGCTGGAGGGTGGCAGCCAGCAGCAAAGTCCCTGCAGGTACACGCTGACACACCAGCAATGAGCTGCCTGTTCTCACACTCAGGGGCTGCACCCAGGTTCCTGCACCCCACCGTGGCACACATCCCTGCCATCCAGGGAGATGCATGCAGCAATGCTCACACCAAGGACGCAGGTCCATGTCAGGAGGGACACAAAGCCTTCCTCACGCTGGCCATGGGGAGAGCAGTGAAGGCTGCAGCCCCTCAGAATTCTTAGTACATCCTTGGATATTTAACACACCACTCCAAATTTGCTTCTCTGGAGGAACACATGGCAATTTTGCAGAGGGAGTGATGTGTCAGGCCAGCCCCGACCTGCTCAGTGCCACCATCATGGGTTAGTGTTGCCTTGAGGCCACAAAGGGGAACATGAAGCTCCCCAGTGAGCCAAGGCACAAGCCCAGGGCGGACAGTAGCCCCAACACATGGAGGCTGATAAGGCTTGGAGCAACCTGATTGAGTTGAAGATGTCCCTTCTCACTGCAGGGGGGTTGGACTAGATGACCTTTGAAGTCCCTTCCAACCCAAACCATTTGATGATACTAAGCCTAACAACGCTGTCAGTGCCCTTCACCACCACCGACTTCAGGGAAGAGTCAAAGCTTTACCCTTGGTGTCAGCATAGGAAAATTCAGCTGTGCACAGCTCCGAGCAGCCATGAGCGTATGCAAACGTGCGTGCAGTCATCTTCTTACTTTTGCAAACGCCGTGTGCAGGACATGTGAGCAAATATACTCCAACCACACGCGACTGAGCGCTCAGGCAGGTGAGACAGGACACATCTCACTGCCAGTCAGCGAGTGCAGTGATATCCTCAGCCCCTGAGCGAGTCACGCTGGCAATTGCCTCCTCACGGCCACGTGCATGGGACAGCCCGGTGCCACACTCAAGGCAGCAGGTGAATGGCACAGGCGAGCCATGCGGGCAGGGATCCACCGCCGCCGTCCCCGCAGCAAGTGGCCAAGCCATCAAACACAACCACGCACCCCGTTAGGCACCAACACATGACAGCATCCGCATGCGTCCATCTGGCCACCCACTCCTCAAACAGCCCCGAGCCATCTGCACCAATGGCGCCCATCTACGAATACAATACACCGACCAGCACCGCAACCACCCACGCCAACCTGGCCATGTGGGAGCACTCGTCCCCGCACGTCACTGGACCTCTCCGCAGGCAGGAACACGTGTACCCAACCTGCCTGCGTTGGGTACCCACAGAGAAATGAAGCCATCTGTGTCTGCGCACACCCCAACGCAGAGACCGGCTCGCCTTTGCTGCTATGACTTTCCAACAGCCCTTCGGTATCGGCTCTGTTCTGGTTTGTCCCTTGCTGTGATGTCCCCAATGTCCCTCCCTGGCTGCTGGCATCAGTGTAACACCATCAAAAGCACATCAGATGTGATGCTGGAGGTGGTTGCCACCACGGCATCACACACTTTTCCCTGTCCCTGACAGTTCCCATCCTGATGAGGGGAGGAGCTGGAAAACAGATCTGTGACTATCAGTACCTCCCATTTCAATGCCACTGGAACAACAACAAAAGGTTAGAGAGATCTGTTTTCCTAACCAGCTCTATCTGACAATGGCTAAAGAACTCCATCAGGGATGTGCAGCATGGGCAAATCCTTTAGTGCCCTAATACAGTCCATCTCCTCCTCTTCCTCTATCTGTCCGTTCTCTTCACAGAATCCCAGAATTGCCTGGATTGGAAAAGACCTTTAAGATCATAGAGTCCAATCATTAACCTCACACTGATGAGCCCCCTAAACCATGACTAAACCATGTCCCTCAGCATTATTCCCTCGCTATCTCTAACATGTTCCTGCTGGTAGCCAGAGACCATCACAACACACAGACTCTGCCATCTCTCCCATAAATCTCCCCCCACTTCCCAGTACTTGGCCAGGCACAGATTTAATATGAACATCCCATCACCTCCAAACCAGCTGCTGGGAGACTAGGCAGGGCTTACAAGTACCCCCAAAAATCCTGATACCCCTAAAATCACAGGTGATGCACTCAGGATGGGGGACCACCGAATCCCACCACTGCTCAGCCAGGGAGGGGGCAGCACCCAATGCTGCCTTCGACCCCCCTCAGATCAGCGCTCGCCTGAAGACAGCGGTTTCACTTGGCAAATCTGAAAGAGATTCTGCCGTGAACGAGCTTGGCTGGATTTCAAAGCACAACGAAACCTAAAATTCCCTGGGAAGGGATTCTATTAAAAAAAAAAAAGGAAAAAAAGAAAAATCCTTTCAGCTGTACCGAGATGTACCGTTTTGGGAAACAAATCAAAACGCCTCGTTCCAATGTTGACTTTGAAAGTTTTATGTGATTTAGACCATATGACACTGCAAAATAAAGTGGAAAAAAGGCGTCTAGAAAGGAAAAAACAGAATTTTCTTCTGCTGAAATTCAGAGACAAGGCTCCTTAACACCATGCCGGGGGTTTATGTGGTTTAGAGCTTTTTTTTTTTCCTTGCCCAAATCAAATTTCTGTACTATCAAACATGGTTTCACAAACCTGCTCCAGCTCTAACTGCATCCGCTACCAGGGAAGGAGCTCAGGGCAGATTTGTGACAACGCTGCTCCCTTCTCCCCCAGCCCTGGCTGCAATCCCACAGCTTCACCATGAAGAAATGTTCCCCAGGAACAAATATCACCCCTCCTCAAGAAAAAACTGAGATACCATCCTCCTCCCCAGCCTCCTTACCCACCCCTAGCAGCAGCCCTGAGTGTCTGAGCTGTACATTTGGGGCAGAAAGCCTCTTTTAGCAGATTTCTGCCATGCCCAAGTGCTGAAGCTGCTGCCTGGGACAGGGGTGGGCAAGCCCAGGTCTTGCGGGGTGAGCTGGTCCCCGCTCCGACACTTCTCCGAAGGCAGTGCTGCTCATGAGGAGCACACTCCTAAATCTCCATCCATCCTCAGGAAGACACCTGGAGAGGGAGTCACTCTGTGTGGGGACCCCTTTTTCTTGCAGCAGCCCCATAACTGGCTGTGCCAGGCTCTGCTTCAGCTCTTCCCCTTGGGAAGAAGCCCCACTGGGCTGGGGGGATCACCAGGGTAGAGGTGGGGTGTCACTCACTCGATAGCAGGCATGTTTGGGGCAGACATGGGGCTGACTTCTTTGGCTTTCTGAAGGGCGTGCTTCTGGTTAAAGGCCTCCTCTTCCTCCTGCTCATCCTGCAGAGGAAAGATGGGAGTTGCTTAGTGGGATGCTGGGGTTTCCATGGAAGGTACAGCCATCACAGGGATGCACGGGGCTACCTTAGATGTCAAGATGTGCAGAAGAAAAGGGGAGCAAGGTGATCTATGGAATCATGTTTTATATGTTTGCATATCAATTGCACCTGTATTTCCAGAGACAGCCTTTATTTATTTATGGAGACACAAATTCCCCGCTACACCAGATCATATGGAAGGCGTCAGAGCTACTTAAATAAGTGAACCCAGCCCACTCCAGGCAAGAGCCGGGCTGTGCACACTCAAACAGCCCCAGACGGCGTAGACCAGCTCAGCCTTCCCTTCTTCACAGCCACAGGGGCGAGACAGACATCCCCCCCTGTGATGGAGTGGGAGGCAAGGCACCCATGAATGACCCCAGCAGAGACTGTATTGCTTTAATAAGTATGGTTGTGTCTCCAGAGCAAAAAATGTCATTAGGAGTCATTAGTGCACATTCAGCCTTTTCAAAAACTCAGCACTCCCTTAATTGATGCTGCTGATACGCTGCGGTGCTCTCCCACCCCTCTCACCCCAGCAGCAGCCAGCAGCCCCTGGAAGTGCCACCTGCACCCACCACAGGAGAACAGGGACCCCCATGTGCACCCCTCAGGTGAACAAGCACCATGCCCCATTCGTTTGTTGCTAACGGGTCAGATTTACACCAGTGTGGAATCCCCTCCATGAGCCCCAGGGACCTGAGTAACAGCCATAAGCTCTGCAAAAAAAATGAGCACCGTGTGATCACTGATCCCCTCCAAAGAGCAGCAATGACCCTCTGCAGCTCTTGCCTACTCACCGTTATCCAGATGGTGCCTCAACATTTCAGCATTCCCCAAATATTTCCCAGTGTGGTCTTAAAAACAGCTAAGCCCAATAACCTTCTCAAGCACCATCCTAAATTGCATTCTAAATCACGTCCCCTGCCCTGCGGGCAGATGGGGAATAAATATTGGTCACCACTGGAAAATGCTCCCCCACTCCACCTCTCCAGAGTGCTCGGGCAAAGAATTGTCCCCGCATCAGACAGATGGGGGTTATCTCAATCGGACTGGAGGCAAAGGAAACTTGGGGGCTTCAGTGGAGAAATAGTTAAGCCACATTTGATGGGAAATGTGAGTGCCCCTGGAGAGACCATCAGGTTTAGAGCACTTTGTAAATTAAGTCTCAATGGCTTTGCCTGGCAATACAGGTTGGTGTTTCAGGGGAGCACCCTGTGTATCTTCCTGGAGGACGAACTTCCACTTCCAATTTGACCTGACCTCTTTACAAGGCAGGCTGAGCTAAGGGACTAGGTGGCCCTGGCTCTGGAGTGACGACAGTCACAGGCATTGCTCCCGCTGCCTCTCCTCCTGGCCCCATCCTTCACTATCTTCACAAGAGAAGAAAAAAGAACAATAGGAACATACCTTGGTGAGCTCCTGAGCATTGGCCAGGTTGTCCACCGCAATGGCCAAGAACACATTCAGCAGAGTATCTGTGAGCAGCTAAGGATGCACAAGCCATCTGTTAAGGACATGAGTGTCTGCAGCCACCACGTGAGGATGGCCCTGATGGCTCCAGACCAGCTCAGTGAGGAGCAGCCAAAGGGACAAACTCCTCACCCATCCCATATACACAGCCCTCAGCCCATCTCCAGACAGCTCCTTCTCTGCATTTGGGATATCCAGGGCTGTCACACGTGTGATAGGACTCCTCAACTGGGAGAGGAGGTACCCCAGTGGGTGGGAAGGGGGGTGCCCCCCAGAGAAGGAAATGAGATAGGGTTGTCTCCACTAAAAGCACTGCGACCAGGTGGATACAGTTTCCAAACAAGGTGAGGATGATGAAATAGATGGAGGACCACATGCCTGAGCGAACACCTCCCTGGGAACGGATGCCATTGTACATCACCTCATTCCAGTCCTCACCTGTCAGGATCTGCAGGAAAGCAAACCAGCAGCAATGTCACCTCACCTTCTCGTGACCTGGACAGCCCCCTCAATTGACCCCACCAGTGTGCAGGAGGCAAGTACAGAGACCCTGTGCAGTGGATAACCCAGCTCTACAGCTGCAGCACTTGAGGGGGATGATGTTGGACACTGCTGAGGATTTAAGTGTCCTCAGAAGAGTTTTGAAACTCTTCCATCTTGCATAATGAAGGTGGAGGAGTTTCCATCTCTTGCCATCCACTTTGTTATACAGAAGGAGAGGGAGGAAGCAAGTTATATCCTAACAGCTGATGGAGGGAAACTTGTTTGGTTTAAAGAGCCCCTTCCAACCAGTGGAGAGTGAGCAGGCGGTCCCAAGTCCCTTCTTTGTTTCCCCTTGCAGCCCAGCTCCTACCTGGAACACCGTCATGATGGCTGCAGGGAAAGTATCGAAGTTGGCTGATGGTGTCCCATCAATGAAGTTAAACCTGGAAGTGAAACCAGAAGGATATAAATGGGCTGGAGTACCAAGGTCACCAAATCCCTGACTGCTGTGCTGTCAGCTCTCTTGTACTTAGGAGGACCTTTCCCCATGCTAAGGAAGGTTTCCTGAGCATTTGGTGCCAGAACTCAAAAGGTTCCCTGGTCAGAAGGACCCACACAGCCCAGAGGCACCTGCCTGAGCAGGAACTTTTGTATAGGAGAGGTACCACTGTTAGCAGCAAGCCGAGGGGCAAGGCTGCAGTCTTCCTAGGCACCTAAGAGGGTGTCATCACTTGGCTTTGACACCAAGAAATTCCTTTTCCCCAGACTTGAAATGACCTACCTGCCTCCAAACAGCTGCATTCCCAGCAGGGCGAAGACTACAATGAAGAGGAAGAGGAGGAAGAGCAGGCTGATAATAGACTTCATGGAGCTCATCAGCGAGACCACCAAATTCCTCAGGGATGCCCAGTACCTAGAAAACAGGGACAGTGCTGGAGCACTCACATTGATGCTGACAGGAGAGCAGGAGCAATCGGAGCTGGGCTGCAACCACAACCCGAGAGAGAGGGTGACAGGAGGTTGGTATGTACTTAGTTATTTTAAATATTCGCAGGAGACGGAGGGCTCGTAGGACGCTGATCCCAAAAGAGGTTCCTGGTCTGAAGATAGCCCAAACCACTTCAAAGATGCTTCCCACTGTGACCTGAGAAGCAGACACAGCCACGAGTCAAAGACAGGCTCAGAATGGGCTGTTGCAGGAAATTTTCACATGTCTGAAGACAAGGCACCCACGACCTTGCCCAAGACCTGGTGTCTCGGTCTGGCATGGGACAGGTGTCCTGGCCACTGTGAGGATCATCCCATTTTTCTCCCCCTTGTTACCTTGTGCTGCAGACACCTGCCAAACATCTCTGCCCCACACCCACAGCATATCTGGGGTCACTTACCCCACAGTCAAAACAGTTGAAGGAAGAATGGAAGTAAAGGCGTGGCCCCATCCCATACATCTTTAAGGACATCTCCAGGAGGAAGAGTCCAAGAAACAGGAACTCTGCATAGTCTGGAAGAGAAAACCAAGACACACTACCCTTGAGGCACCAAGCTGTGTGGAGCATCCTGCATGCACCCACCCATAGCCCACATAGCACACCACAGAGATGGGACAAGTCAAGGAGCACACTGCTTCTCCAAGCTCTCAGGGTTTGGGATGAGGGAAGCTTATCTGTGAGGAGCTAAATTGTATATAACAGAGCACCAGCCCCACAGTTTAAGCATTCAGGGTAGCTGCACCAGTGTCCCAGAGGTTTGAGAGGAGCAGAGATGGCCAGCGTGGAGCAGAGCAGCTCTTTAAGCATTATATGACAGTGGTTCAGGTGTCTGCAAAGACATTAACCACATGACACTGTAGGGTAATATTAGCAACCTGGATTTAAATCATCACACGGCTGGAACTTGGCCAGGGTAACCAAGCCAAACAGCCAAGAGATGGTGAAAAGCTTCTCCAGCTATTTCATGAACATTGGCAAGCAAGAGTCTGACTCTTCACCTTGTCCAAAAGATACTTCTCACCACAACCAGCACGGTGGAGCACACTGTGGTGTGTTGGGATCCTGGCAGGCCTGAGCATGCCAATGCAGATTTAGGCAGTCGTGGTGCTTGATGGGGACGTTTTCAAGATGAGTAAGAATAACACGGCTGAGAAAGCATCACTGTCCCTACTGCAGCAGCTCAGGAATAACACACGGCTACTGTAGGGCTGACCACGCTGCTCTGCAGTTAACACCATGCTAGAATGGACACGGGTGTGCTGCCTCTGAGACCTGACCTTGCACCATGGCTCATGGTGGGCTGGGAGATGCTTCAGTAATTGGTTTCAAGCTTGAGATCTCCAAGCCATGCTCAGCACCAAAACTTTAACCAGGTGGTTCTCCCATAACCAGCTCCATCCCTGCAAACTCATGCTTTTCCAGCAATGGCTTGTGGGCATTCAAAGATGGATCTCCAGCAAGCTTTCCCTCACCATTGTTCACAATTTTAGGATAAACCCAACTGAGACCTGCAGTCTGTTTCTCTCTCTTGACAAACACATGAGGCCAATAAAACTCCTCCATGTTTGTTCTCCAGGCTGTGACAGCCATCAGTGGCCACGGGGCCAAAGGCAGAGATGAATTAAATGGCTGTACTTATCAGCAGTGAACACAGCTCAGGTTATTCCCCACCCAGCTCCATTCCAGCATGACTCTGGCTGGATTCATCCCCACATGCCCTGGAGCAAGGAGATTGGGCATGCTGCAACCTCCAGCTGCTGGAGATAAGAAGGTTGCAGGAGGTTTTGCCTGCCCACACAGTGTTCTCACCCCTACACAAAGCCCAGGGACTCACAGAGGAAGTGGGTAAGCCAAGCTGGCTGGTTGTGATGGACAATAGCCACACAGGCAGTGTTGAGAGCCACCAGGCTCAAGACGATCCAGTAGAAGACCTGGGATTTCACCATGTGGCGAACGGAGATGCGCAGGAGTCGCTCCTTGTGCCGTAAGTAGGAGGCACCGTCCACTCTGGCACCTTTGAGGCCAGAGTGACTCAAGGGGTTACCTAAGGGAAAAGAGGGGGGACAAGGAGTTGGGTTCTCCAGTCAAGGTGAGAGGAGGAGTTGGGTGCTCCAGCCTTCCCTGCAAGATGAGACAGGATAGATGGCTCACAGACATAGCTCCTATGTGACATGACTTAACCACACTGGTTTTAAATGGTACAGGGGGCTGTGGGTGGTTTGCCCCCTTTGTTGTCAAACTGGCAGAGATGGCTGATCTGTGATCACCTCCACATGATAGGTATGACCCTCACAACTCAATCAACTGGCAGAGGTTTTTTGGGGAGGAAAGCTCCAAACTGCACTAACCCAAGGTTGGATGAAGAGGTCTTCTCTGCGCCAGCCTCCGCTCACCCACGGAGGAGATATCGACGCAGTGCTCATCACTCGAGTCGCGGTTCATGGCATCCGTCCGGTTCCTTTTGATGGTGGCTCGCCTGAGCACTGGGAAAGGAAGAGGAAAGGATGCTGGTGGCCCAGCTCTGCCAGTAGCCAGCTCATTGGACCATGACCTGGTGATCAGTACTTGACTAACTCGGGTCTGGTAATCAGGATGGAGATACCCAGGTAAGCCTAGTCCAGAGCTATACCTGTGTGAGACCAGACATCTCCTGGTCTCCATTCTCTCTTGGGGGTTACATTGCCAATCCATTTCCCCACATCTCCTCTCTCAAGCCACAGACCCCAACTGGACCATCCCCAAACATCCTTCCTCTCATCACAGCGAGAGGGTTTCAACCTCCAGCTGTGGGCTGGCAGAAGGAAGAGCAGGCAGGTGCTCAGGCAGGGCAGGGCATTGCTTGTCTTACCTTCTAAGGCTGAGGTCCCAGAATTTTTGTTCTCTTCAGCCAGCATGACTTCCTCTACGCAAAACACAGAGTTAAGCATCAGGAGACAAGACACAGTTGGCTGAGCACATCAGACCCTGCTGCCTTGCACTTAAGCACTTTGCTCAGCCTGGATGTGGTTGTTCTATTTTAAAAACTCTTGTCAAGTATTGGTAAAGTGTCCAAAAGCAAGTTCTGGAGAGTGGTAAGTGGCAGCCACCACATGTTGCATCAGGAAAAAAAAATTACTTGTAATCAATCTTTCTTCCTTCACTGTAATCACCCCACTAAAGAAGCTGAACATTGTAGACAGGTCTGGGGCTCAATGTCCCAACCCAGGACCAAAGCTGAGGTCTCATTTCAAGTTACCATCCTTTTTCAAGTCTGAACACTAGATGAAAGTGCAAATCTTCCCTTCTCAGAGCTGAATACACTGAACTGATCCCCAAAAAGTGCAAGCAAGGACAGCAGCTGTGGCAGTCTGGGGACCAGGATCCACAGGGCTGTTGCACAAGGCTGGATGTCACCAGAAAGCCTGGAAACCTCCACCATCTAGCCCAGGTCCAGGTAGGAGTCCTGAGCTGGGAACTAGCAAGTGCATTTCCTCCAGTCTGCTCCAGAAGCAAGTTTCACTGGAAAACCACTGTCACTGTTCACTGTTCTACTTTCCCCCTGCCCACCACTGCAGGGAACTCCAGAAAACATCAAGAAAAAGAAAACCATGGCAGAGCAAAGCTCACAGCAGTGATGCTCACAGCCTTCTCTGGAGATGTAATATGTCTCACATTCAAAATAAGACAGTTTCACACCACAGAACATGAGGTTCCATTGGCTGTTGGCAGTATCCTTGTTGGCAGCCTGGACAGACCATCACACCATCAGGGGCCAAGCTCACCCATGCACCCAACACCACCATGTGAGCACCCACGTGACCCTGCGGTTGCACTGGATGATGGCTCAGGGATCCCTTCCCATCCCCACCACACTGCATGACCAGCCCCCTTCAGTACCCACCACCCCCCTGGGAGCCCCTCCAGCCCACCAGCCTTTACCCGCTTTGTCTATCCAGGCCCGGTAGCCATTGAGCTCCCGCTCGATCTGCTGCTGGCGCCGCAGCTTCATGAAGGCTCGGCGGTTCTCCACTCGCTCACGCTCTTTGGCAAACTCCCTGGAGAAGGACAGAGAGGAGTGGTGAGAACATGGCCAAGGAGGGCAGTGGGGAGCCTGGGGGCACCACGAGGCCAGGAAGGGAGGCAGGGACCAAGGGCAAGCACAAGCCAAGGGCTGCTGGAACATGTTGGGGCAATGCACAGTCATCCTCAGCCAAAGCATGGCCAAAGGATGGGTGAACAATCAGAGTGAAGGAGCGGACAAGCGTGGATGCACGTGAGCAAACACTCTGCTCAGTCACTCAGCCTCATGTGCACTGGCTGGGAGCCACTGTCATTTAGGGAGGATGTTCCCAGTGCCACCCAACTCCAGAACTAGTTCAGCTTCTATGTGTCCGTTCAGGGAATAAACACTGGGCACCATGCGGAGGCAAGCAAGGGGATAGAGAAGGGCAGGTCCTGTCCCCTGCCTTTGCCACCTCTTCCTCTGAATCCTTTCTCTTTCCAGCCTCTCCTTGGAGTGTTTTCCCAGGGCTTGAGACATCCCTGTCGTCCTTCTCTGGACTTCACTGCCTCACACAAACTGTCCAGGCACTATGACCCATCCAGAGAAGGACAACAGCTTAGCATCACATCAGGCAGGAGGGCAGGCAGCACCACACGGGCTCTGTGCAGGCAAGGGCATGTCAAACGCTGAGCAACACTGACCAGAGCTAATGCCATGCCCACTGCTCACACAGCCTCTAACACACGTGGTGCACGGATGTACCAGCATCCACACGCTCACCTGCACTCCTAGGCACAATCATAAACACACTCCTTGGTACACATATGATTTCATCTATAGCCCAGCCCAGAGCTGCACAGACACCCATAAGCAGCTAGGGCTATATACACCTTCTCACATGAGGTTCAAACACAAGACCACGCTGGTAAGCACGGTCTGCTTTCTGGTAGACAAACACTCATGGCCATACACAGAATCATAGAATCACAGAATGGTTTGGGTTGGAAGGGACCTTAAAGCTCATCCAGTTCCACCCCCCCTGCCATCAGCAGGGACACCTTCCACTAGACCAGGTTGCTCAAAGCC